TGTCAGGAAAATATAACATAGAAAGTATTAAACTAATTATATTTCATGCAGATTCATGGAAAAAAATGACATTTTGCGCCCCTTAAAGAGCCGACGAAAGCACCCAACCGTTTCAACGAAATCCTCAATTAAAGGGAAATGAAAGCTTAAGATTTCATTAAATTCTTTTGGTTTGGAGCAATCAAACCCTAACCTATGGAAAAAATAGAGATTTTTTCCATAGGCAAACAAACAACTTCACTCACCCCAAATGAAATCACAATTCGATTTTCAATTAAAGATCACAAAATGAAAGTGAATCAATTTCGAATTGAATAGGATTGGACTTAGGAGAAGCAGATTAACGCAAAACAATTGATCATAAATATTTATAATACTGCAATGAAAAATGCCAATATAACAGAAGAAAAAAAATTGAAATTTGAAATTGGGGAAGCTGAAATTTGTTCCGAAACGTTTCAATTTCTCCAAATTACAACTTCCCGAATTTCAAATTTCAAATTTCAAATTTAATTAACCCCTCCACCAGGGCCATTAACGGTCATAAATTAGCAGAAAATTAAATTAATTGCTTTTCATTTTGCCAACGTTTCGAGCACTATGTGTGCTCCTCATCAGGGCAATATTTATTTCTGTTGAAGAATTAAAATACAAAAACCAATTAGTCATACAGTATGCTATTGCACATTATCAATCTACATTTTTCATTAAAAAAAAAAAAAAAACCAATACGTGAAAGATTCAAAACAAACATTTTAACCAACAGAAATTAATCAAACGTCAGAAAAAATACTAGGTCATTCTAACCTTAAAAAAGAATATAAGAGATTGGCCTCATTATAATGCGTTCAAACCTCCAATTGTAATGAGAATCATACGTAACACAAAAAACCAACTAATTGTATGTGATTTAAATTAAGTGAGAACAATTGTGAAGATCAAGAAAATTAATGTTTTGAAATAATTTGCTAATCATAAATAATTATATACCTGTAGCTATTCGTGCGGAACAGAAAGAAAGTTACATAAATTATCACTAGAGTACGTGATCAAACAATAATGGCGCCAATTCAGATTTCTCCTTTTAAAACTACAATGAGTTTAAACAAACCAGTTATTATCAAGATTAATCAATCTATCATAAGAATTACCTATCTTTTTACAATCATTTATAAAGTTTACAGTCCTACTGTTGAATTTTTTAATGTAAAACATTTCTAGAATATCTAAATTATCTTTTCCACGAGTAGTTCCTAAAATTCTTGATTTATTAAAATTAAATTTATGTTTCGTGTTTTCAACATGAGCAGAAAGTCCTGAATGATATGTTTTTGGTTTATCTTCACTATATATATGAACCTGTATTCTATCCTTAAAATATTTTATCGTCTAACCAATATATAATTTGTCGCAATTACTGCACGGTATTTGATAGACCACATATGATTCCTTGTTTATCTCAGTTTTATCTTTAGTTGTGCCAAACTTCGTTCCTAACTTATTTTTATTAGTTGAAATAACACCAATCTCGAATTCAGAACAACATGATTTCAGATTACCAGTCAATTCAGAAGAAACAGGAACAATTAGAGTCTTTTTAAAATTTATTGGATTATTCGTCCTGTTATTATTGTTATCATGCTGTAAAAGATGAAGTCTATTGCTAACTACGTCATTAATAAATCTAATCGGATAGTCATTGAAAACCAGCAACTTTTTTATGTAAGAGAAATTTGAATTCCAAAATCGTCTATCAGAAATTTTAATTATTCTATCAGTCAAATTAGTAATAATGTTCCTTTTTTGGTACATGGGATGCATTGAATTGTAGTTTAGACTCTTCTAACTTAGCCATTACAGACTCTTCTAACTTAGCCATTACAATGTCAGCACACACAATGGGTTCTCCATTGGCTCCTGTGTGTGCTGACATTGTAATGGCTAAGTTAGAAGACTCTGTAATTAGTAATCTAGATTTTGCTGTGCCCTTCTTCTTTCGTTACGTACATGATATTGTTACATGCATTCCAAAAAATATGATTTTACAAACATTAGCTAAATTCAACAGTTACCATCCTAGACTTCAATTCACTTATGAAACTGAGCAGAATAACAGATTACCATTTCTTGATGTTTTAATAATTAAGCAAAATGACACGTTAATTTTTGACTGGTATAAAAAACCTACATATTCTGGTAGAATTCTAAACTACAATTCAATGCATCCCATGTACCAAAAAAGGATCATTATTACTAATTTGACTGATAGAATTATTAAAATTTCTGATAGACGATTTTGGAATTCAAATTTCTCTTACATAAAAAAGTTGCTGGTTTTCAATGACTATCCGATTAGATTTATTAATGACGTAGTCAGCAATAGACTTCATCTTTTACAGCCTGATAACAATAATAACAGGACGAATAATCCAATAAATTTTAAAAAGACTCTAATTGTTCCTTTTTCTTCTGAATTGACTGGTAATCTGAAATCATGTTGTTCTGAATTCGAGATTGGTGTTATTTCAACTAATAAAAATAAGTTAGGAAGGAAGTTTGGCACAACTAAAGATAAAACTGAGATAAACAAGGAATCACATGTGGTCTATCAAATACCGTGCAGTAATTGCGACAAATTATATATTGGTCAGACGATAAAATATTTTAAGGATAGAGTACAGGTTCATAAATATAGTGAAGATAAACCAAAAACATATCGTTCAGGACTTTCTGCTCATGTTGAAAGCACGAAACATAAATTTAATTTTAATAAATCAAGAATTTTAGGAACTACTTGTGGAAAAGATAATTTAAATATTCTAGAAATGTTTTACATTAAAAAATTCAACGGTAGGACTGTAAACTTTATAAATGATTGTAAAAAGATAGGTAATTCTTATGATAGATTGATTAATCTTTATAATAACTGATTTGTTTAAACTCATTGTAGTTTTAAAAGGAGAAATATGAATTGGCGCCATTCGTGTTTGATCACGTACTCTAGTGATAATTTATGTAACTTTTTTTCTGTTCCGCACGAGTAGCAACAGGTATTTAATTATTTATGATTAACAAATTATTTCAAAACATTAATTTTCTTGATCTTCACAATTGTTCTCACTTAATTTAAATCACATACAATTAGTTGGTTTTTTGTGTTACGTATGATTCTCATTAAAATTGGAGGTTTGAACGCATTATAATGAGGCCAATCTCTCATATTCTTTTTTAAGGTTAGAATGACCTAGTATTTTTTCTGACGTTTGATTAATTTCTGTTGGTTAAAATGTTTGTTTTGAATCTTTCACGTATTGGTTTTTTTTTTTTTTATGAAAAATGTAGATTGATAATGTGCAATAGCATACTGTATGACTAATTGGTTTTTGTATTTTCATTCTTCAACAGAAATAAATATTGCCTTGATGAGGAGCACACATAGTACTCGAAACGTTGGCAAAATGAAAAGCAATTAATTTAATTTTCTGCTAATTTATGACCGTTAATGGCCCTGGTGGAAGAGTTAATCATTGTTAAACAAGAAACGGTTGAAAATCATCTTTATTATAAATTTCAAATTTCAAGTTTCAAGTTTCAAATTTCAAATTTCAAATTTCGTTGGGAAGTTATACATTCGTTTCTTAAAGGGACATATGAAGCAAATTTTTTCAAATCGTTTTTCATGTCGTTTCTTCTGGACAATGATATTGAAGAGTCGTGTTATGGGCTGGAAAAGCATACCCCTCCCTTTGGTTTGCCGTCAGAGGTAAAAATTTCGAAGTAGGCAACTTTTAAAGTCGGAAAAATTTGAAGTTAGAAAAATTTCAAATTTGAAAATTTTGAAGTTTCAAAATTCTGAAGTTGAAAAAAATTGAAGTCGAAAAGTATTGAAGTGGATCAAGTTCGAAGTTGCAATGGATCCATTTTAACAGTGAAATGAATGTCATAAAATTTACATTCTAAAAATTTATAATCGAATTTCTCACAAACGGCTGAGAGGATACCGCTGGAATTCCACTCCAGTGTTGGTGATATAAACGCATCGATTATGATGGAAACTGATCAATCCCATCGTTTGTTCAGAAAAAATCATCAAATTTACAAAAAAAAAACCATTTTTCTGCGTTTTTTAGCTGGTTTTCTCGGAAAAACTAAAAAACTGCTGAGTCAGTGTTGTTCAAAATCTAATCAACTCTAAGTTACCTTGAAACACATCGCTTGCACGAAAAAAAAACAATCGTCTCGTTCGTCCGCGCGTAATCGTAGCATAAAATTTTGGTCACACACACACACACACATCCACATATACATACCGGTTTCTAAAAAGTGTCGGAAAAGTTTCTAGGGGTCATGAAACGTCGAGAAATCATAAAATTTCCACTTTCGATTTTCGGGGACATTACAATAACTTCCTCCCTCCGGCTCGGGAGGTTAGAAATTAATTAAAAACAAAACTATACGCACGTACAGGAAATGCAATTATCCACTTGTTTTCTGCTGTTAAAAAAATCAAACAAAAAAACATGGAAAATTTTTGCAGAGAAATTTTCGTAGAGAATCTTTCAACAGAATAAGTTGTATAGAAACAAAAATTTTTGTATATTTTAAATATTTTGTTGTTGTTGAACACATTTATTAGAAAAATGTTCGAAAACACTGCGAAATTTTTCAATAGAATAGTTCAAAGACTAATATAATTTTTCATGGAACTCTAATAGAAATTCAATACAATTTTCTAGCGAATGCGCGAAGTTCTTCTACGAAATATTTCCGTTTCTTTTTTCAGCGTTAATCTCACAGAATTATCAACCACAATAAGTTTTGAAATTTTCATCTCAAATAAGATAAAATGATGAAATTCGTCGTTCCAGATGATTTATCGATTTATTTATGAAGAAATATTCATTTATTTATTCATCAATAAATATATACTAACATGTTGAATTATTTATTGATGAATTCGAATTCATTAATCGTTGATGATAATCGACATACGACACAATTATTGCTATTCTTTTCCCTCTACATCACCGTAAAAGTCCTGTTGCTTACCAATACTCCAATTCCGATGTTCCACTCAATCGACGTGAAATACGAGCTCGAGATTCATAAGATGAGGACCCTACATGTATTCTGGGAACCCAACACACTTTAGACCGTTTTTTTAGAACTGTAGTAAATGACTGTACACCCACATTTTAAACTCTTCCCTTGTTGATTTGCCTATTGGAAAAATTCCGTTCAAAGAAGCATCTTCTGATAAGAAAATTCATGTATGTATATCGCATTGATACTCTCTGATAACGAAATTACGTTGTTTAAATCGGTCAATCTCCAACATAACGAGTTCGGGTAGCAATTTATTTTAGTCTTGAAGATGGTTTCTGGACGAGTTATTGAGACATGGGTCAAAGACATCAGGTTCCCGACGTCGTTGAACGCCGATGGAAGTGATGCTATGGTAACTAAATTGAATTTCCGAGATGATTTTTATATAATCCATCTAGGGCTGTTGGTGTGCAAATTAGTACCGTTTCTATCTTAGACAATTGATTCAATTATTTTAACGATTTTCCTTATTTTCTTGAATACAATGAAGGTTATCTAAGTCCGATTTCTTGCCCTTATTTAGCACACAGATCCTGATTACTCTTGCGCTTACGTAATGATAAAATTGGAAAACGACCTCGAAGGTTATGGACTAACGTTCACACTTGGAAAAGGAACGGAGATAGGTAAGTAATTTTGATCACCTATATAAAACAAAATTCGAATTGAAAAATTCATGAATCGTTGCATTGTTCTTTCATGATTTTAGTGGTGTCAGGATGCCAAGCAATTTTAAGAATGCTAATGAAGCAGAACGTTGATGAAATATTTAATAACTTCGCTGAATTTTGGAGGAAAATAACAAATGAGTCACAGTTGCGTTGGGTATGTCAAAAATTTATGAAAGCAGTTAAAAATTACCATGGTATTCCACGTCGAACCGATCAACCCTTGATCGGTATTCACCCAAAAGTGAACAGAGATTTTTATGACATCGAGATTGAAAAAATATTTGTTAATTTTTAAGACAATTGGTCTATAGTCCGCATGGGGGGGGGTGATATTTTTCGTGTTTTCCTATTATTTCACATAACTCGTGTTTTACGCTGAGAGAAAAATCGTAGAATATTTATAGAGAAATTCTGGGAAAAATTGTGGTACTGGACAAGAATTCGAATGTGCTAGCATTTGGGAATTTCTCCTATGGCACTAGAAAATTTAATACTCTCATCGTGACATCTTTGTTGCCGACAAAAGTAAAATCGTTCTCCAGAAAATTCATCGCTGGCCAAAATTACCGTTTCTTTTATTGCTCGCTGATAATTTACTTCACCATTACAAAAATTACATCTAATGGCAATGAATCAAAAAATTATAGGTTTCAGGCAATTGATGGCAAAATATGAGTGAAATGAATTCATATGCTGAATGGAAGTTATTCTATTGGATCAAAATAGTTATGATGATAACTGGGTATTAAAGGAGGTTGACGAAATTTATGAATCCATAGTGTTTTGTAAAATTCTGGAGGCTAGGAAGAAAGATGTTATCATATTTTTCTTTCCTAAATCCTCCAGATGTTTAGATATCTGTAAATCAAATTATACTAAACTAGGGAGCTCCGCCCCCTGCTCCCTCCGCTCGGCAATCTTGCGGTGGGCGTCATCCCCCCACTCCCTGGGGCCCCCAACCCATATTCTCTTCTGAAACCCAGATGGAAAAATACAAAAGAGAATGGGATTTGATTCGAAATAATGGAATTCTTATGAATATGATTTCAATTATTGTCGTAAATTTAACACTGCTGCAGGTGAGTCCGAAAGAGTTTGGTACTGCTGCAGATGAATCCAAATTTGTATTTCTGAAAGCAAGAAAAGAAACAAGGCAGAATCAAAATCGAAGAAATTCGACTCGAAGAACAAAATTCTGAATTTTATATTTATAAGAAAGGCTCCAACCAACGCCTTTCTTACAAGGAAAGGTCCCCAGGTGTACCTCACCGATTTTCTTCATTTTGACATATGTTATTTTACATGAAAAATGATTGACCACGTATTTTTTTACGTGCTGATTCGGTCATAGAGGGCAGAAAATGACGTTTGAAGTTCACGCAAACTACAAACTACGCAAACTACAAATTTCTACAAATTTCTACAAAATTTCACTACCGCTTGAGGAAATACTATTCAATTCGGAAATTTCTCATGGGGATGAGGGGCAAAGTTCCGCTTCTCTTAGAAATCTGCAATACTCTTTGATAATTTAAATATAATTACTACTGTAAAATTCCGAAATGTTGTGATATTTTCCCCTTTCATTTAGAAATTTACGAGCGTATACAATTGGAAAGTTACATAATATGAGAAAATTTACTACACTTTTACTGAGAAATCAGACCGCAACTGTTCAGGAAATTTCGAGTTTTTCCATCAAAATTACGACTTTATTGGAATTTTACTATCTAAGCTGTATCTAAAGTTAATTCAAGAAAATTACACAAAATTTTAAAATTTTCGATTTATTTATTCATTTTCATTAAAAAATGCTACAAAGAAAAAAGTGCTGTACATGGGGATATCGGATCTTTTCATTTCGTTCGCCTCCGTGTAAGGAAATGAGGATCGTTAGTTTATGTAAAATGAGAGATCCTCGGATAATTTTATCACTTTGGCATCGAGCAGGCTCTTGGCTTTCTTCGTGGTTTTTCGTCTGGATCCCTCCTCAGAATTGATGTCGAATACAGCCCTGGAAAATAACAACAAAAAATTTGATTTAGTTTTTACTTAAATTTCATCGCAGATTCGATAAAAAATTGTATTGAATTCTATTAGTTTTTGACCGATTTCATTGAAGAATTTCTGACCTTTACTGCACGTTTTTTTTATGGAGAATGTTCGATAGAAACTCTCTCATTGAATTTTCTATAGGGATTCCTAGGCATGAATTTTTAGAATATTTTCCACTTGATTCTTTTCTCCTCTCATTAAAAAAATCAAACAAAAAACTTGGAAAATTTGATTCAGGGAATTTTGTTTGAAAACATCTCAATGAAATGAGTTTCATTGACAAGTCAACCTCCATTGAATTTTCTCATAGAATATTTCCCATAAAAAATTTCTAATGCAAAACAAGCGCATAGATAAACTGTAGATCTTCTCCATTGAATCCTTAGAAAAGTAATAGGGAGCTTAATAGAAATTCAATAACATTTTGTACCGGATTCATCAAGTTTTTCGATGAAAATGTTCAAGTTATCATATGAAAAATTACCTCTGCAGAAATTCCGACGTTTTCCCCAACTGATCTGGATATTTCAGGTTGAAGACAAAGTAACTGGTGAAGAGGCAGAATATACCTTGTAAGGCTGACTCTGCCTCGATGCAAACTTGTTCATCAATCATGATAAAGAATTCTCCATTTTCATCGAATAGGGATTCTCCTGAAAAATATCAAAAATTAAAATATTAAATATGGCTGTCAGATCCGAATGAGAAAATTTTAGTGGATTCCGATTGAACTTCTATTAGCCTTTCTTCCAGAAAATGTATCTACTGTATCAAATTATCTGTCGAATATTTTCATTGAGAACCTGCGAAATTTTTCCTTTTACACTTTTTACACTTGAGTGTTTCAATAATTAACAAATTGAAATGGTTGTTAGCTCAGAGCCTCAGCTTAACAATCATAATTGCGAAAAAATCGACTTCTGGGAGTGCTCTTTGTTCTATTCCAAATTATATCTAGCAGGAATGTATCCCTTATTATATGAATATATTTTTTCACTCACCTTGTATTCATTATCAGACGGTAAGCAAAATTTTTTCACTGCTCCCTTGATTATACCATTCACCATGCTTTCAAAAACCAGACTTTTCTTCTCCCGACCTCGCCCGGTAATTTTGAAGATTGTTGGAGAGGACATTTTTTAAAGTCAAAATTTGCTAAAGAAACTCATTCACTGAGTTCAATGTGAGAAAACGTTGTGGTGAAAATCGCGCGAAGAGTTTGTTCGAAAATTAAGAAACTCACTGATGGGAACTCTACAGAGGACGACGGTCAACTGTTGCTAGTGTCCACTCACGAAGGTGGAGGGACAGTGTTTCCAATGTGAATTTTACCCTGATGCCGAATCTTAGGATTCTCATTGGTGAAAGGAGAAAGGGGGAAGTAAAATGAAGGAAAAGGAAAATAAGCCCGAAGACAGAAAAACTTGGTACCGAGGTACTCGCAAAGACCAGCAAAAGGTCTTGGGAATTCCCCGACCGGTAGACGCTCGGTTGTAATCGCTCGGGTCAGGACCGCAATAAAACCATAAAGTCTTTCTTTGAGAAATGGAAAACGAGCAAAAAAGATTGTGCTAGTGGATGTAAAAGGTTCATTTTGAATAGGTTTATATCGTAACAAGAGGAGCAAATCCTTCAGAAATCTTTCATTTTCGAATTTAAGAAATTCGAAAATAAAAGATTTCTAAGTATAATAATGATAAGAAAAGTAATTTTTCCTTTCTCAAATAATGAATTCCACTGAAAAATGGAAATTGTATTTGGAGATTTTCACAGGACCTTGGGATATTACACGAAAATAAATGAGAATAGTACGATAAAATCGTAATTCTCATAGCATGAAAAAGAGATGAAAAATTGCTAAAAAACTGTAATTCTCAAAAATCTCGGCATACTATAAAAGGTCTTTGGAGAATTGAAAAAAAACGCGTGGAAAAATACAAATTCATGTTCAGAAATTCACGGAAAAAAATTGCAGAATTCCAAAATTGAGGGGAATTTGGAATAAGTTTTGGAAATTTCCAAACCAGAATTCTCCATTGAGAAAATTCGACGACATCCTTAGAATTCCAAGCATGCTAGCCTGTGATTTTCCAAAACATTTTTAGGAAGTTCGCAGAAGATTGGAAACTCACCCAAGTATTTGGAGATTTCCTAAACAGTTTGGAAAACTCCTAGTTTCCGAGGAAATTTCTTACCAATATTCTAAGGAATAGGGAATTCTGAAAGAGTTTGGGGATTTTCATAATCTTTCCCATGGGAAGTTTCGAAAAATTTCTTACAGTGTACACGATGAAAAGTGGTGACAGCAATTTCCCAACAGCTGAAATCAAAGGCTGAATGGTATAACCATGAGTTACAGATGAAACTGACTGCACTAAACATTGAATTTGGTGTCCCTCTTCAACTGTTAATGTTCGTCCAGAATGTATTTCCAACTGGAAACCACTTTGGTCTAAATTGAAAATATTTTCCGAACCTCTATCCATAATTAATTGCTTAATATCAGAGCCAAAATGATCGACTGTTTGTTGCAAATAGTCTGCACCTCCAAGTGTTTTCTTTGTAATGAATTTATTAATTTTTCTACTTACAATTCTATGAGCTCGTTTGAAATTTTTCACCCAATGTGAGGATGCTTCGAAACGAATATTCTTATGCCCAATATCTTTCCGGGCTTGCAAAGCCCATCTTTACAAATCTATATCATATTTAATGCGTCCCGCTATGGGCTATGGGCGCTATTTTCGATATGGGCATTTTGGTTAGATAATGGTTAGATAATATCATTCAGAATATATTATGTAGAATTATCATGCTAGTTTGCAGAACTTTGAGTTGACCACGTTAAATCATTCCAAGGGGTGGTTTACTTTTTGAAAGGGTGATCTGGCGGAAACCCTGAAATACGTCGATTTATTTCTTCGATTTTTTATCAAAGGCAACAGTTTTCAATGAGATTCAGCCAAATTGAGACTTTTTACACTGAAAAGATGTATGAAAAAACATAATTTTATTCAATAAATCACTCAAAAAACCAAGCCGTGTAAACGAATATCCTATATCCATAAAAGCCCCTCCGAATAAGTAGTTGACTGTAGAAAAAAAATTGAAAAAATATTGCGTAGTTTTCGAGAAATTGCGAAAAATTATTTTTTGGAGTGAACTTCAAAGGCCATTTTCTGCCCTCTATGCCTGAATTAGCACGTAAAAAAATACGTGGTCAATCATTTTTCATGTAGAATAACATGTGTCAAAATGAAGAAAATCGGTGAGGTACACCTGGGGACCTTTCCTTGTTAGTGAGGTACAACCATTCGAAACTTTCCACTTCGTTATATTAATATAAATGAAATATTAATGTAGATGAGTAGAAAATACGATCATTTACCCCTCCTTTAATTGTGGGGATGAGGTTCCAACCAATGCTCATCCAGTGAGGCACAGCCATCCAATATTTTTCATTCATCCTATAGTAAAAAAGACATGGGTCACTAATTGAACAAGGCGGATCTCATGGGGATAATCGATTATTTTGCATTCGATTTCGATTAATCGAATAGAACCGGCCATCACATCAGCTGATTAGTACAAGGTCACGGAGAAATACCGCAAGATGGCAGTGTAAAAGATGATACCTGAATGTTTCAAGAAAATGCGCGCGAATTTAAAAGCGGACTTCTAGCCCCAAATAAGAAACAAACACCGTGCAAGCATAAAGTAAATCAGCATGTTTCCTACACATATATTTGAGTATAATGAGTTGAATCAGAAGTTATTTATCAGTAGTAAGTGCTAAGAACTGACCAACTAATTGGAGTGATTGATGATTGGATTAACTTGAATGCCAAGGGTGGAATCAACAAAATTAATCTCCTGTTTTTTCCAGTAATTTTTTGTTTTTAGAGGTTATATTTAAAGAAACCAAGCTTTAAGTATATCTCAAAATCAACGAATTTTAAATTTTATCCGTACAATAAAAACGTCGAAATACTTTTTACTTACAAATTTTAAATAGTCCAATTTCTTCATCGAATTGGCTAGGAAAAGTTCGAAAATAAAGCATGGGTAATCAGCGTCTTTCGAACGAGATTCTGCAAATAATTACTTTTTTTCGACATTGGCTCAAACGAAATCGAAATGGCTCAAACTTTCAGAAGAATATTTTTAGGCATCCAATCAAATTTTGCTGAAATTCTGAAAGGGGAAAAATTTGTTACAATTCAGAAACGATTATTTTTAGAGTGAAAAATATATTATTATTGAATTAGTTGACAGATTACATACGACTGCTACTCTCCGCGTATATTTCCCCTATTTTCATTTCTACCAAATTTCATTGGTATTAGGCTTCCGAATGGATTCCAATGTATGCTTCTCACTCATTTTCCCCTATTTCTATAAAATAAATTTGCAATTTCATGCAACAATATTCATGTTATATGGCTTCCTTAATAATCCTGCTGAAAATGGACGTTGAAATATGGATGCGTTAGTTTTTTTTCTCAAAAATTTTGGGTGAATCATTTCATCTCAAGAACTATCAAATGCATAGACCTAAAATTTGATATAGGAATGTTCCTTGACAGTTCTATCTCGATTATTTTTCAAGTTTTCGTGTGAACAAGCAATTTCAAGGAAAAAATGAAAA